TTCCCCGAGGGAGGCGGTGGGAGGGGTGGCTTTCTCAGGGTGAGGGGCAAATACAAAGTTGAAATGCCGGGAGGAAAACAAGTCTCGATTTGTGCCTTAGAGATGGGCAAATCTCTCACCGGGGGTCAAAAATGCATCAAAATGCACCCTTCCCCCCCGCCCCCTTTTTTTTTCTCCCCAGTGGGAGCTGCTGAAATTCTCCCAGAAGTGTGGCTCTCTCCCATTTTGAATGGGAAAACCAGAGCTGGGTTCCCAGTCGGTGCGGGCTGGGGGAGGCCGGGGGCTGCTGCTGTTTAACGCGCCTGGGAAGACTTCTGTTAACATTTGCTTTTTCCAGCTGCAAGAAACTTTCCTTCTCCAGGATTTATAGTGCCTGTATGGGTTTATTGAAGCGGAGGGATGGTGCCGGGGGGGTGGTGCGGCCGTGGAGCTCAACAGATCAAGATAGTTCGGAATAATTCACTTTCCGTTCTTTATTCCGAGGAACCTTTTGCAAAGGCAGAAGTTGGCAGGACCGGGAGAAGGCGATTTTTGAAGCCACAGATGTTGCCTTTCCCTTTGTAAGGGGACTGATCACAGGGCAAGTTAAGATGCAGTCTCGTCCCTGAAGATCTGTATCCACGCTTTCCTGTCACATCCAGCTTCTTCCTTTCCAGTTAGATTAGCTCACCCCCACTCAATGCTTATCTGCCGATCATTTGCCTATAAAGGCATTAATTATATCTTCCTGCTTACATACAGCTTTGTAACGATATTTTATTGATTTAAATTGTCCCTGAGAGTGTGCAGCGAATTGGGGTAGCTTTATTTAAAGGTACAGCAACATTTCCATTTACAGTGCTTCATTTTCTCAGACATTAAAAAACCCCCTCCAATTCACTACTGAGGGGGAAACACAGGCTTCATATTTTGTTGCCCTTATTTAATGTAATGAATACTAAAAATTGACTGGATTCCAGCACACAGCATATAGGTACGTAAAAGAACCTGCAGCATCTCCTGGGCAATCAGTTGAATCTGGAACACCAATTCCACAAATACCAGCTAACTTTGTATTTCACAGTTTATTAGCAAGCGAAAGAAACCTTCTGAGGTTGTGTTACTTTTTACTCAAAGGTAAACTGAGAGTAACTCAGTGAAGGCTGGAGAGAGAACAGGAGACATTTGGAGAGGAGAAGGCTGTTAATACAAAAACATTTCCTAGCAGCAGAGACAGGTAGAGATTTAGGAGACACTGTGTAGGTTGTCAGCACATGGTTTGGCTACGAATTGTGCCCTTTAGCCCAACAAAAACATTATGTACATACATAGCAGCAGACCATGGAGTCAGAATCTGATCATTTTACTCCTTCTCTGATGCTAATATTTCAGGGAAGAGGAGAACAGTAATATCTGTAGAAGAAAGTTGCTTCCATCACATCAAAGCAAAGCAGTGGCTGTGAGGGAAGCACCGCTCTCCTCAGTCACGCTACCACACACTGATACCTTCCAAGAGGTTTGGAAGGACTCGGGCTGGTTCAAGTCAAACAAAAAACAATTACACTTGGTTATCTGGAAGTGTCATGGAGGTGCCTTGTCACCTTTTCAACACAGGAAGAAACTGAGTAAGAATTGCCACAGAGTTTGGGGACAGCAGCTTTAACTCATAATTGCTTTTGTTAAAGTTCAAGAATAAGGCAAACAAGAATACACCCTTACCATAAAATAAATCCCACCTTAAGCCTCTGTGTCTAAAAGTAGAAGGTAAACAGGAGAACAGCCAAGGCCATACTCCTTTATTCCAAATGGCATGAGCTATAGTATTGTGAGGTCATTGCCTGACATCAAATTGTTCTGCAAAAGTTCCCAAAATCAGACCTTTTTTTCCACAGTACCTGTTTTAACGTAGGGGACGTTGATGATTATTTTCCTTCTAGTTTCAGAGCCCACGATGAAGAGACTCCTGGTGCTTTGTGACTGCCTCTGGGCCTGGAGCCTCCTTCTGAATGCACTGACTGAAAGAAGGTGGGGAGATATTTTTTAATGCACCAACATATTTTGAGAACCTTTCATTTACTATAGCAGCGTAAGACAAATACTGCATGGGCTGCACTACTACTAAGTGTATTGGGGAAAGTTAACCCCTGTTCAAATCCCAGCTAAATTTAACTAAGGGAAGATTGAAAGAAAACTACAATTTGTTTGCATAACATGTTTTTTTCCAATATTCTGAAGAAAAAAAAGCAAAAGCTTTCTGAAACAAATTGAAACTAAACTACCTCTTGAACACCTGTACAATCCTTTTTACTCTTATATAATGACTGCTCAGAAATACAAGATTCTTTAGAGGAAAAAAAAGTGTAATTAAGTTTTTTTTAAATGTCATTTAAGTGCTATTTAGTAACTTTATTGTCCCCTCAAGCAGAAACAAAACTTCCACTTTTTAGTTGGTCAGGATTGCGTCTTTACTTAGTAGCTGTTTTCACAAATTCAAAGTTGACCTTCCTGGTGAAGGGAGACTGCTTGGATGAAGAAGAATTTGTAAGCTCAAACCCCCTAACAGTTTATGTTTGAAAGACCATGCTACAATGAATGTTTATGAAATATATGTTGAAATCACAATCTAAAAATACCATTAGTATTAAGAACAATTTGTAATCATACAACACCTCATCTAATAACTAGTAGGCTAACTAAAGACTATAAAGCAGTTTGGAGTATACTTGCAGTACTCTCTGCAATTCAAAATTCAGTAAAGGTGTTTAAGACGACCCACAGATATATTTCCATATTTTAAAAATATTAATGTCCTGTCAATAATGCTACCTCCTAATGACCAAAAAGCAGTAGAAATTTTGTATTGTCAGTAGTGATCCCTAGAAGAGGTATTTGTGCCTTGATCTCCATAGTGTCTCCTTATGCATTCGCAGCTCTAGGTAAACTTATCTTGTGGCTACCTTGAAGATTTTAGAGTGGAGGGGGCAAAGGTTCATCTGCACGAGTGTTTCCTCTAAAAAACCCAAAAACAATAAAAGCAGGTGATTCATGTTACAATTTCTGTAACAATTGCTACGACGTTCTAGAAGAAATACCTTTATTTTGATAATATATTAAGAAGGGTGAGATTTGAAGTATTCATGAAGTACTTGATCTAGACTAGGTAGACAATTTTGTGAAAACATGTTTATTGTATAGATCTGTGGACATATATATGTGTACATGTATTTATTATATCTGTAATGTATGCATATGCATTCTTGAAGTGACAATTAAGACGCATTGGACTAATGTTTAAAAATTATATGGTGTGTCACTATTATAATGACCTGTAGATGGAGTTAGTGCACAGTTTTTTATTATACTGTGGTTTAATATGAAAACACAATCTCTTGCAGTCACTTTTTCCTCAAAATGTACACACCTTACACTAAATATAATCTGTTTCTAAAGGCATTTTGTCACAGTAACTTCCCTTGCCTTTTCTTTGGGAATGCTGTTAATCCTTTATGATAAAAAACAGTTGATGAATTAGATAAAGTGTCTGTGATATAGAAAGACAGTCTTGCCATATCATTATTCTTGTCATAAAAAACCAGCATTAGGTCTATTTTAATGTGTGTTCTGAATGAAAAATCACAATCCCTCTGGAGTTACAGTATACTATATACGTACACAAATGGTCACATTCTTCCCGTTGTGACCATATGTCAGTTAAAACCAGCCCTAACAGTGCTTTTTACCTCTGATAAAATGGTGGGAAGAACAGGTAAAGGTGCTGACAAATGTGACATCCAGATTGGAAGCGGTGCATTGCATTGCATCCTCTCCTCCTGCACTGCCACGAGTCCATCTTTCTGACGCCTCTTCTGCAAACATACTCATTTATTTACCACTAAAATTTCTGAAGTGTTTTTATATCCTTCTGCCACCTTAATCCTGATGACCTTCGGCTATCCTTGAGATATGTATGTACAGCAGCTTGTTTACTGACGATCAGTGTTAATATAAAATTTAATCCAGTGAAAAGTCCTGTGTTGCAATTCTACATAAGGTGTATGAGGAATGATCCGTTGAAAGATAATGCTCATTGGAGACAGCAGGAGAACTTGTTATTTGGTAACATATAGGAAGCATAAAAAAAAAAATATTAATGTCTGTGACTTAAAAAGCAACTGTAGATATGAAAAATAAATATAAATCAACCTTTTTTAAATTAAGTGAATTTATATGATGTGGCTAGAGGAAATTAATAGTATTTTTTAAAACTGTTAGAGATTTTGTCTTCTTCATTAGAAACGGTGATTTATATGCATTAAAACCCCCTGAAAATTGTTCTCTACAAGGTCACATCCTATTGAAAAAAAAAAAAATTAGTAGAACTTCTATGAATGTCAGTTCTGAAACTCATTTAAATTTGTAGCATTACTTTTTCAAACCTATACTGCAAAATAACTTGGAGGCATTTCCAGAGTACCTTCATTGAGATTATCTATCCTTCTTCTCTCTGTATTCGAGACAAGCGGAATATATGTGTGAGATATACGAAGGCTATTTGACTGATGCAGTTTACAGAAAATAATTTCGTAGGTATGTTACTAGAACCCGATCATTTAATGTAACAGCATATTCCTTATAAGAAGGTCTTTGTTGGTTAGAGCAGGGACAACTTGCAGACCACTGAGACCCACATATCACCGTAGCCGTATGGATAACAAGCTGCCCAATCGAAGAATCACTTTTGTGACTAGACCTGATCCTAACAAAAGTTTTTGGCACTGCACTGTTTATCCAGTTCAGTAGCAATGTGTGCGACAAAATGATGATTTGGAAAGCAGTGTTTCTGCTTTTAGTCATGATGACTACACATGTTTATAATGGAAGTCTTCCCAGCAATGAATGAAAAAATGATACTGGGTTGGCATTAAGACAACTGTAATCTGTGATTAAGGGAATCATCTATGACGGGTGTTTGGTAAAGGTTTCAGATTTAAGAAAAAGGTTGATTCTGATGTCATCTACAGCAGACAGAAACCACTAAGCCCAAGGATTTCTTTCTGATTTGTATTGATGGAAGTAAGATTTTTTGTAGCTGAGTTCAAAGAGCTTAATTTTATCCTCGTTCAACCAAAACTTCAGGACCTTTGGCTGAGTTAGATATATGCATTAGGGATATGTAAGTGAGGATTTATAGACGAGAAAGATTTCCATATCAACAGATGGTTTCATTACACATTTATAAGGAAAAGTTGAAGTATTCCTCCAAGTCTAATTGCTAAAGGAAAATGGGAAGTAAAATAAAGTAAAATTATATCTTGATCTATGAAAATGCACACTCACTTTTTTTTTGTTTTATCTTTGTTTTAGCATTTATTTTCAGTACTTAAATGTCAGTGTTCTAAATTATTGTATCTTTCTTTGTATGCAAACCTTTTATAATTATTATGAATTTAACACATTATCTTTTGCTGACAAATGAGCCTTTTACTGAGGGACACATATTAGAATATTATAACCATTAATGAATAATGAGATAAACATTAAGGAACTGATGTTCTAGTTGCTCCCCATTTATAGAAAGACACTGTTTATTTATAATTTTACAATAAAATGTACCATTTAAGATGAAAATGTTTAAGGGAAAGAATCCTATAAAGCACTACAATCTTGTCTTGTGGAGGAGATTTTGCGACCATAAATCAGTATAAGGAAGATTAAAGAGATTTTGGAATTATTGTTTTGTAAGGTTATTGGTGGATTACTGTTTTTCAGTGTTAACTGTTCTGTATTTCAGCTACGGACAAACCTCATCACAAGATGAACTTAAAGACAATACCACAGTATTTACCAGAATATTGGATCGTCTGCTGGATGGTTATGATAACCGCTTGAGACCAGGACTGGGAGGTGTGTTGTATTACAGTTTTCAAGGTTACATGTTAGATAAAAATCAGTTAAAACAATGTTATTTTTCCACGATATATTTGTTTTAATTCTGTTTATGTATACACATAAAATAATGCTGATATGTAATATCAATTTAAAAAAAAAATGTCATGCCTTCTCTGTCTGTCATATAGTCGGTTTACTCACACTTATACCCAAAAGAAGAAAATGGTGCACAATTCAAGAAAACCTCTGAACACATATTAAAACTTCAAATGTATGAAGAATAAAAGATACTAAAATATGACCTGTGACCTGACAAATTAGAAGTTTATGAATCAGGCCTAAACAGCAAATCTATCTATGACTATATTCATAAGAAGATTTGGTTTTAAAAGTGAAAACATCAATCAACCTTAGTCATAAAAGTCAGAAAAGTTTATAAGATTTTTTTCTACTTGGGTATGTCAGGATTTGTTTCTATAACATTTTGTCTTCACAGCTTGGTAAGAAAATCTTTCTTCTGCTCTTGGTGCTGAATCCATAAAAGGATATAAAAATAATAATGATTTTATCTTTATAAAAATATCATTACAAAGCCTAGTCTTTATCAGCATCCCTACGTTCACTCTTTGATTTGTTCTACTCTGACACGACCCCAAAATTGGGTCTTAAAAGCTCGTTGTTCACAAATGTGAAAGTTCTAAACGTACAAGCACAAATCTGTTCTTTCCAGTGCATGGAAAGGTTGAGTTTACTTCTTTCAGATGTCTTTTTTTAATTTTTTTTTTTCTTTTGGACTGTTCAGGTAAAATAAAACAAAGCAACCCACCTCACTAAGTACAGTTCAATTTGTTTTCATATAATAGCTCTCAGAGGAACTGCATTATAAGAAGAACAGGGTATTACATTAAGATTTCTTATACCATCTTCTTCATATGAAATGGAAGATAATTAAGAGTAAGCTTATTCTGTGACTTAAGGTTACCATCTTGTAACAGTTCTTGAATTGTGAGCCAACTTCTTAAATGGTTTAACTTCACTGATTTCAAGGAATGGCTAAAGACAAAATTCTGTTTATAAAGTATTAACTGACACATTTAAAAATGGGTTAATCTGTAAATTTTTGTGTGCAATTTCAGATAATACACAATTAAATAAGAATCTCTTTTTACTTTTATCTACCAGTAGTTTTCCCTCCTTACTTGTAAACCCTTGGACAATGTAGAAATAAATGCTCCTTAATCTTTGATTAATGCAACTGTACAATTCAGTCAGTTACTATATCACAGTAAATAAACCTAGCAGAGAAGGCAATAAATAAACGAAACTCTGAAAACTGTAGAGTCTGGTACAGGTCTACAAGAAAAATCTGAGCACATGATGATTTCTTATATGAGTTTTGTAGCTATTATGATTGTTTAACAGTTACTAGAAGAGCAGACAAAAGGAGACTCAGGGAAAGAACTTGCTCTCATTCTCTGGATTACAATTTAGAGAACTAAGCACATCGGTATAGAGTCTTATACATACATTTCTGAAGCCAGACTTCAAGGGTATACTGGGAGAACAGGTCTGCATACCTCATGAAAGGATCATCCAGCCCAGTTAAAATTTACTCCTGACAGAAAGATTGTTTAATGTAAGTGCTTCTGCAGGAGGAGATGAGTCCCTTCACAAACTTTCATAGCCATTTGCACCACTATCAGTGGAGCATGGGAAGCATGGCGTGGAGGGAAGGCAGAATTGGAGTAGTTTCCCTAACAAAGGGTTAGAGCAGTTTAATCTTTGCGTCCTCCTTTTTTGAACTGTGTTGCATGTTCCTGCCTGTAGCCAAGAACACTGAATATCACAATTTCCCTGTTGCTCAGTACATTATAGTTTCACCGTGTCAGTTCAGCAGAGTAAATTTAATTTGTGAGCTTTGAATACTAGAAGTAAGAGTACCAAGACTGTCAAAAAATCCCACATTTAATGAAATTGTGGGCAGTAAATTAGTGTTTAAAACCAAACATAGTAAGAAGTAGCTTTCCTCCTCTGAATGTTGAATAATGCTTTATTCAAAAGACATACATTATAAATTTCAAAAACTATTGACAAACATCTAGGCCAATGTCTTCAATTCTGGTACCAATTTATAATGAAGGATTTGCTCAAGGATTTTGAAATTCATCTCTGGAAAGCCTTCTCGTACCTAAATATGAGCTAAGAACCTCAAGATGACTCAATTTTGACACATTTGATTTATACACTTTGTATAATGGGGAAATATATTCAGAAATGTTCCAGACGGAAAAATATCCAATGAGAAATCTGAATCAATATATCAAATATAGCACAGTTTTTGGAGTCGGAAGTTCAACAGTCTTCCATTATAGCATGATCTGTTGCTGGAAATTTTAAAATGTATGTGGAAGAGCAGTGGTTTCATTTTTCTTCTGAACATCAGTGATGGCGTCTTATTAAATATTTCATCAGAACACAATTTTTATCTATTCTAAAGAGAAAGTTAAGAAGCTACCAATATAACAGCACTTTTAGATATAAAGAATTAGGTCTAAAACTCATTCATTACATATTAGCTGTGATGTAGCTTAGCACAGTTTTTGGAGTTGGAAGTTCAACAGTCTTCCATTATAGCACGATCTGTTGCTGGAAATTTTAAAATGTATGTGGAAGAGCAGGGGTTTCATTTTTCTTCTGAACATCAGTGATGGCGTCTTATTAAATATTTCATCAGAACACAATTTTTATCTATTCCAAAGAGAAAGTTAAGAAAGCTACCAATATAACAGCACTTCTAGATATAAAGAATTAGGTCTAAAACTCATTCATTACATATTAGCTGTGATGTAGCTAACAGAGAATTTAGAGACCAGAGACCCTCATACATATATGTTATGTTGATAAATTTTACACTCTTAGGCACAATGTAAATCTGTGTACCACTGATTACACTACAGCACTCTTCCAATTATCCAAAACTGCCTGTCCTGTTCTTTCTATGCCTTCTGAGAAACAGAAGATGAAGTAAAACATTGTGTGGTACAGTTATTTTCTTCTACAGAAAGGAGCATATTGCAGAAAACTGTTATCCCTGTACGACCTCTCCTTCTGTAGTGCAGTTTTTCAAATATATACACCTACAGAAAAGAGAATTCTGTGCATGAACAGAAACAGAAAAGAGAACCAATTTCTCTCTCTCGCACCTATGGAAGATAAATGATAGAGTTTCTTCAGTCAGCTTATTTGTTTCTCCTTCCTTGTGTTTATGGGTATGCATGAAGGATTCACTGACAAAAAGTTATGTTTACTGAGAAACTGTAATGAATTGTGAAAGGGGTTTGATCTTGATCTTGCTCTACTCACTTGTAGGAGTAATTTCCCCCTTTTTGAAATAAACACCATGATATTTCTCTATCCCAAGTTTGCAAACTTCGTATTAGCGTGGTGAACAGTTTCATTGTTTGGTAGAAATATCTTGGTGAGGCAGATGAGGCACCATGAAGCCAGGAACAAAATCCTGGAAAGATCTCATTACAAAGATACACTGTTGGAGCTACACTATATATTAATTGGAAAGCCAGGTTAAAAGGTGGAGCATTAAGGAAATGAAAAATTTAGAGGTGCTGAATTTTGAATCACTCTTTCAGCATGCATGGAATCAGTGCTAGATTAATATTAAGTCCTCCCTTTCTGTTTTTTAGATCTTCTTTTGAGGTACCACTTTAAATGGAAAACTAAAAATCACATATGCTCTATAAAGAGCATAAGAATTAATATTATTATTTATCAGAAAACCCAGTAAGGCCATATCTGAAATTCAGTGAGCAGCTCCAAGCATTTTGTCATTAAACAAAGAAGGAAATATTTCTCACTAACAGGAGTATTTAAAAAATGGAGTAGGTGACCCACGGGATAAAATCATAGTGATTGAATATGCTCGGTATTTAAAAAATGGCATTGTGGCTAAAATTAATCCAATATTTCTTTAAAAGAAACATGAAGCACTGTGTTATACATTGACACATTTGCACCTTTTATCAATAATTATTGATACAAATTATGTTATTTAGATGTTTGCCTCCTTCATATGTGGGCATAGTAACTTAGTCAGACGTTACTAGGAAATAGCATCTGCTGTACCCATCCATAAACAGGGACAAATAACTACATTTACAGTTATTTAAGCCTGGAAAATAGATCTTTCAAAATTAATGTAAAAATGTTCTGAATCACACTAGAGGACACCTATTAACTCAATGAAAGGATAATAATTTACAAAAAGCAAGGTGGAGGAATTACAGGGAGTAACATACTGAAACTGAAAAAGAGGAAACGATGTCAGATATTAAGGGAAAAAATAAACAGTGAAGTCATTTAGGTAATAGCATAATTTTCTGTGGGAACTATCTGGATCCTAGAACTACAGGTGATCAAAAATAGACCAAATAATAAAGATGCTGATCTCTTTTCAAATACACAATCCCGAACAAAAGAGCGGATCAGACAGTGGTGGGAAGGAGCAAAATAAGGAGGAAAATTCACCTCAATGTTTGGTGACTTCTCATAGTAAACCACTATGTCTAGAGCAGGAGATTAAAAGAATGGAAAAGCAATGAAAAATGATGGAAAAAATAAGCTCCTTAGACAAATGGATATGCCATTGCTTTTTGTTCTGGGTTGTCTTCTTGTGGAGAATAGAGATGAGTCCTGGGGTGCCACCATGGCAGATTTGGAGAGCCACATTGGAGAGAGGTTGGGTTTGCACGAGGCAGGTTGGTTGTATCTGGTCCTGAGATTCCTTAGGAATCAGGAGCAGCTACAGGTTTTTTAAGAATATCACCTTTGAAGTGCACACATCCCCTGTCTAAAACTAAAGGCTATCACATGGTCTGTGACCTTTTAACTTAGCATAATGGTAAATGTGGTTTATCCCTTTGAGAGGGATTTTGCAGTAGAAAGGTTTTTCAATACAGAACTAAGAACAAGAGTGGGTTTCATTAGGGAGACAAGAATCT